CTCTGCTCGACGACGCGCAGGCTGACGTCGACCTGCCCGAGCTCAACCCTGACGTGCACGCCAATCCGGAGCATTGCTCTGACCTTGCCAACATGACGGTGAAGGAAGTGAGAGGAGCCATGGATGGCGAGAGACTAAGGTGAGGTCGAAAAGTTGAAGTCATGGATTAGAAAAAAAAGTGTCAGAGACATTTTGGAAGGAGAAGGAGGAAACCCTAACTGAACCTAAGGTGTGTTCAGTTTGGACAAAAAGCTACAAAGTGAACCTAAAGTGAACCTGACAGCGTAACTCGCTCTTACCCCGTAGCCCGAAGCGCCTTGCCCCGTAGCGCCCGTCTATCGCGCCCGTAGATCGTGCCCCCGTAGCGCCCGTAGATCACGCTGTCAAAGATAGAACTTGAAGAATGAATGACTAGAATGAGCAAGTACAAGGGTAGATATATCAAACCTAACCCTAGCACTAACCAAGGTGCACACCACCTAGACTAAACAATGCAAACTATAACTGTTATAGTTTGACACACCCCCATAGTCTAGGTGACAACAGACCTGTGGAAAGCTACACATATCTCGGGGTGGATCACGAAGTCACCACACAGTCTGAGAACAACCAAGGGTCACAGGACCAGTCAGCAAGAACAAGCAACGGTCACAAGACCAGTTCACAAGAACAAAGCAACTCTCGGGGTGGATCTCAAGATCACCACACAGTCCGAGAACAAGCAAGGGGCGACAAGGCCAGTCCACATGCAACGATATAGCAGATATAAGAGATGCAAGAGTACAAGACATGCATGACAAGCATCTCTACAGAAGCAAGGGGCCACAAGGCCTGTCCACAAGCACGGATAGAAGTTATGTAGTGAGATGCAAGAGTACAAGACAAAGCATCTCTACGCAAGCAAGTGAGGGCCTGTAGACACAAGCCCAAGCTGGGTGCAGAAACGCTGGTGGTCACAAGGTGGCAACGCCTTGGTGAAGATATCTGCAGTGTTGGCCTCAGAGACCACACGTCGCACGAGTGCCTGGCCACGCTGCTGCAACTCTCGCAGAAGGAAGTAACAAAGCTGGATGTGTTTTGCCTTCCCAACCACTCGGGGCTCCTCGCACAACAGGATAGCAGACATGTTGTCGGCGAAAAAGACTGGGGGAGAGCGAGGCCGTTCACCAAGGTCGGTGAGGAGGAAAGGCAGCCAGCGAAGCTCTTGGGCGGCCATGGCCGCAGCTTACACCTCTGCCTCACAGCTGGAACTAGAGACGGACGACGCCCAAGTCAACCTCCATGAAACAGCTCCGGTCCTAAGGCTGAAGCAGTAACCCTGTGTAGACCGCAGCGACTCTGTGTCGGCCCACGACGACTCCGAGTAACCTGTAAGTGTAACTGGCTGCTTCCCTCCAAGGACAAGTCCCATGCCTGATGTACTCGCCACATATTTCGCCACCCTCTTAGCCTAGTACCAATGGGAAGGTCAGTGTCTCCCAGGCGCAACAAAGCGCGCAAGGACGCTAAGAGGGTAAGCTAGGTCTAGGCGAGTGCAGGTCATCAGGTACATGAGAGAACCCACCAACTCAGGATATGGACCGCTGGACTCAAATGGCCCGTCCGAAGGTGGAGCCGTGAGCCCATGATCCACAGCATGAGGGGTGGGTTGTACCTTGGAGAATGGGAAGCGTCACTGCGTGAGGATCTGCTCGACCATATGCGACTGCGTTAGCGTAATGGTGCGAGGTGCCCTGTCCCTGGTGATCTGGAAGCCAAGGTAGCGCTGCAGCTCACCTAGGTCAGTGCAAATGTGTCTCCTCTGCAGTTCCTCCTTCACGGAGGCCAGTGCGCGTCGGTCGGGAGTGGCGAAGACCAGGTCGTCAACGTAGACCAGAACAAAGAAGGAGGTCGAGCCACGGCGGACGAACAGCGACGGGTCGGCAAATGACGGAAAGAAGTCAAGCGCTGCAAGAGTCATACATAGTGTGTCGTGCCACTCGCGGGGAGCCTGGCGCAGGCCGTAGACCGGTCAACGCAATATGCAGCAACACCTGAAAAGTGGTCATCTTCAGGGTGGGAGCGAAAGTCTGGAAGAAGTCTAACCCCTCTCGCTGACTGAAGCCTCTCACCACGTAGCGCGCCTTGAACACCGGTGGTGCTCTAGGCGGCCGCTTCACCTTGTAGAGCCACATGCCACTGACAACGTTCGCCCCAGGTGGCGGGACGGCGTCGACGTAGGTGCCTATGGACCTATAAGATGCCATCTCTGCCTCCTCAGCTGCTATCCAGTACGAAGCCCAGGGTCCCGAGACTGCCTCAGCGTGAGTGCGAATGATGTCAAGGGCGTCTGGATCCCCCTCAGGGGCAAGCAGCATGGCACAGAGATGAGGAACAGCACCCGCAAGGAAACCAATCTCGAACTGCCTGTCCTCCAGGACCTCCAAGGGAAAAATAGGAGCACCCCCAGAGGACGGAGAACGAGCAGTGCCACTCACCAGGTGAGCGGCGTAGTCAAGGCGGTGGGAAGAGGCAAAGGCACTGACAGAACTGACAAGGGCCGAGATAGATAGCGGAGGGGCAGTCGGGTGAGTGACCAACGCGGACAGAATACGGGAGATGACAGGGCGAGAGGCACGGAGGTAGTCGGACAACGGGTCGTGAAACACAGTGAGGGATGACTCGGGAGGCTATGGAAGGACAGGAGGAGGTGGAACATGAGAGCGAAGAACAAGGTGAAACGGGCCGTCGGCACGGTAACAGGACCGGCGAGGCTCTGGGGACACAGCACGACTGAGGGGAGAACGACGAGTCCAATGGGTCGAGGAAAATTGGACGAGCGCGGGCGGCTATGTGTTCATCTTTGGAGGTGTCGCTGTCTCCTGGTCGAGCCAGCACATCAATTGCGCGACGCTCTCATCGACCAAGTTGGAGTACGCCGCGGCCTCGGAAGTTGGCAAGGAGACCCGTCGTCTTCGCTTCCTCCTTGTAGAGTTCCAGCTACTCGACGCTGGGACGCCGACTGTGCTGCACGTAGACAACCAGTTGGCCATCTTGGTCGCAGAGGGCTTAGGGCTCAAGGGCAACCTCAAGCACATGGAGCGACGCTACGCCTGGCTACAGCATATGGTGAAGCGCGGAAAGATTGCTCTTCAGTACATCCCGACCTCCAAGCAGTCGGCCGACTTTCTAATGAAGGCGCTGCATTTTCCGGCTTTCAACCAGTGCTCCGTCGTCATCGGCCAAGTGCGTCTGGCCGACATCGGCGACGGTGATGATGAGGTGCAATAGTAGGTGCATTGCCCTTCTACACGGCTGGTGCGGTAACATGCGTGCTATGTGGTGGGTGCACGCAGACAGAGTTTTTCCTTGTATTTTATCCCTTTGGGTTCTGGGTAGACCTAGTGTGTGGGGTGCCCAAGTGCGAGCACGGCAGGGGAGTGTTGATGGGAAATGGCCCCGCCCTTGCTTGGGCAAAACAGACTTTGCAGTCGGGGGCGCGCAGAAGTCGACGTCGACAGCCTGCAGAGTTCGACGTCGACCTGCGCGCAGAGTTTGACCTCGACCTGCCCGCAGATTTCGACCTCGACCTGTCCGCAGAGTTCGACCTCGACCTGTCTGCAGAGTTCGACCTCGACGCGTCCGCAGATGACGTTGGTCGACGCGTCCCCAGAGGACGCTGGTCGACGCGTTTGCAGAGGACGCTGTCGACGAGCTCGCAGAGGATGCGGTCGACAAGCCCGTAGAGAGGTGCTGGTATACGGGCTCTGCTTGACGTGCTCATCTAGACGAATGTTGTTCGACGGAGATTCGTCGAGCTGGTCGACGCAAAAGTCGGTCGACTGCGAAATCCGACGCGTATACGAATGTCGCCCAAGTGGTTTTCGCGAAGTCAACCTGCGGAACGGCATCACGTGCTTGACAGTGCATGGCTGGAGAAACCGTCGCCATATGTTATACCTGGCACCTGCGCAACGTACCTGGCGGCGCGACTGCCTACCTACATCTGCTTGGTAGGTGCGCACATGCGCAGAAGTTCACTTGCCTCTGCAGCGCTGGCAGACTGCTGCGGTGTAATGCTGGTAGACTTCTCTGCTGCAGCGTTGGCAAGCCGCTCTTCTGCTGCGCTGGCAGACTTCACTTCGCAGAGAGCTTGTTAGGTGTTGCAATGCCATTCTAGCTATATCGAATGGCATGCCTCATTGTAATCTAATGTTCTCTCAACTTCTTAGTGAAACTCTTGCCAAATTTCCCTGTGAACACAGCAAGTAGTGAGAACACTAGTGCAACGCTACGATCACCCGCACAACCCCGCGCCCTACTCTATAGTCCACTCCCGTTGTGTAGTGACTCTCCGCAGAAGGAAGTCAACAGCAACAACAGAGGGCGCGAGAAGGGAGGGAGAACACCCCTAAAGAAAGGGAGAGCGGGGAGTGCCACGAGAGGCAGCTACAGCAACGGCACTGGTCTCAGCCTCGAGGAGATGCTTCTGTAGCAAGTCCAGCTTAAACTCAGTTGGGTCAAGGGCGAGGAAGTGATCCCTAACATCGCGGAGGGAGTTAGGGAGGCAAGTGACGAGGAAGTAAATAGTGATGTATATAGGGGGCGGGTTCACAGTCAGAAAGGCCGGCTTGAGAGTAGCGAGGTAGCGAGCGTCAATAGAGCGAAGGTGGGTAATGAGATCAGCGACGGTGTGGAAGTCTGACAGCTCAGGAAAAATATACAGCAGCATGAGACGGCCTAGGGCAGCAGTAGAGGGGGAGGAATAGCGAGCAACGACAGCGTCATAGAGGTCTTTGGCGGTCTTATGCTGGCCAAAATGGGCCCTCTCATCTAGTGGGAGGTGGTTGCGGACAGCAAGGCGAGCAGTAGCATCGCGCGTGAGCCACTGCGAGCGAACTACACGATCGGCTGACTCATCTTGGGCAAGAAGGGACCCGGACGTATGCTCGAACAGTGAGACACTGTCCCTAGATTCGCTCCGCATATACAGCTGGAGATCCTCTAGCCAGGTGTCAAACTTAATCGGGCGGCCCTTCGCGTCCAATGCAAGGACAGTAATGGTGGCCATAGTAGGCAGTAGCAGTAGCGGTAGCAGCAGCAGCAGCAGCAGCAGCAGCAGCAGCAGCAGCAGCAGCGGCGGCGGCAGCAGGAGCAGCAGCAGCGGCAGCAGCAGCAGAAGCAGCAGCAGCAGCAGCAGCAGCAGCAGCAGCAGCAGCAGCAGCAGCAGCAGCGGCAGCAGGAGCAGCAGCAGCAGCAGCAGCGGCAGCAGGAGCAGCAGCAGCAGCAGCAGCAGCAGCAGCAGCAGAAGGGGCGGCAGTAGAGGCAGCTCGGCTGGGCGGCTCGGTAGGGCGCCGCTGCTCGGCAGGGCGGCGCGGCTCGGGCAGGGCAGAGCAGGGCTGCTCGGTGCGGGCGGCAGCAGCAGCGTAGCAGCAGCTGCAGCGCAGGCAGGGCGCTGGCTGGCGGCACAGTAGGGGCAGCGCGCTGTGCGGGCAGAGCGCGGGCGCCGCACGGGCAGCAGAGGCAGCGCGGCTCGAGCAGGGCAGGGCAGGGCTGCTCGGCGAGGGCGGCAGCAGCAGCTGCAGCACAGGTAGGGCGCGGGCAGGCGGCACAGCAGGGGCAGCGCGCTGTGCTGGAAGAGCGCGGGCGGCGCACGGGCAGTAGGGGCAGCGCGCTTGCAACGCGTGAGCAGCGCAGGCAGCGTGCGGGCGGCGTGCATAGGGCGCGTGCGAGGCAGCGAGCGGGTCGCTCGCGAGGTAGCATGTGGGTCGCTCGCTGAGCAGCGTGTGGATCGTGTGCAGGGCAGCGTGCGGATCGCGCACAGTGCAGCGTGTGGGTGGTGGGGGCAAATCCAACCGCGTGCGCAACTGGCGGGAGGGCGAGACTTAACACGCAGGGCAGGGCAGCGTTAGCGCGCAGGGCAGAAAACAAAAACGGCGCACTAGCGGGACGTGCCACGGGCAGCGGAAGGGGCAGCGGTAACGGGTAGCGGTAATGGGCAGCCGGAAAATAGGTCCCTAAAGGGCGGTCCTAAAGGAACTAACTGCTTTGATACCATGTTAGAAACTATGAGTAAGGATGATGGCATTAGGTCAAGGAGGAGTACAAGTAGAAGGTCGGACAAATTTGGTACCCCCTAAGAGGCATTCCTAGCAGTTCCGTCTCTTCAGTGAGAAAATTAGAACTTGTAATCTATCTGTATAAATATTGTTATCACCTGAAAGGTCCTGTTACAACAACCCTTTCCCCCCTTTTGTCGGGGAGCTGGGCCTCCTCCCATTCTCCCCCATCACCCCGCCATACTCCACATCCCCCTTCCCCTCCTCCCCCATCCCCCCTCCCACTCCTTCCTCTCCTTTCAGCACCGGCAGCAGCGGCAGCCCCTCCTTCCCTCCCTTCACCTCCTTCCCACCCTTCTCCCCCTTCTCTTTCTCCACAGCCCAGCTGTACAGCAGCATGCCTACAATAGCCATGAGCATGCCGCTGAAATTCTTGAGAGTAAATGGGTCCTTGAAAACGGTCCAGCCGAGAATGAGTACCACCACCGTTTTCATGTGCCCCAGCACCTGGAAGGACGTTGCCGAGAACTTTCCGATGCACAGGTAGACGGAGAGGTTGCAGCCGATGGCAAAGGCGCAGGAGAGGAAGATGAAGAACTGGAGTGGGGTGGGGTGGAGAGGAGTAGAGGTGGATAAGGGGGAGATGTGGAAAGGGAAGCAAAACATAAGAGACAAAGGTCAAAGGGGTTCGATGGCGAAGGCACAGGAGAGGAATATGAAGAGCTGGAGTGGGGAGGGGTGGGAAAGGGTGGAGGGGGATAAGAAGGGGAAAGTGATGTGAAACATATGAGAGGTCAATGGGGGTTGACAGCAAAGACACAGCAGAGGAAGATGAACAAGTGGAGATGGGAAGGGGTGGGGAGTGGTGGGTCGAGGGAGGAGGGAGGAGGGCGAAGGGAGAGCAAGAGAGGAGCCGGTGAAGGGTTGGGAAATGGGGTTTGAGGAAAGGGGGAACATGAGCACAGGACAAGGACCGATTCTGGTAAACGGGGAGCAGGTGGTAGATGCGATGTTGACACTCACTGCAGCGTTGCTGGTGACACTCACTGCAGCGTTGCTGGTGACAGGGAACTCAAGAAGGTTCTGCGAGGTGAGGAGGTAGTCTAGGAAGGGCCCGACAACCACAAGGGTCACTGCCTGGATGGGCGCTGTCTGGCGCAGCAGATCAAACGACCCCACGTTGTGCTTCCTCTGCAGCTCGCCCACGAACTGAAGGAGGCAAGACACAGGGGATGCAGGTGAGTGGGAGAAGCGAGGAGTGAAGGTGAGAAGAGAATGAGTTGTACAGTTCGTTTTTGCGTCATCAGGTCAAACCACCCCAACCACCCCCATCCCCACACCTCGCATACCCTACAACCGCCACACCCCTACACCTGCCATATCCCCCCCCCACCCCCTCCCCTTTCTCCCCCTGCCACCAAAAAGCCCCCATACGCACTGCTCCATGAACCACATTATCGCACTAACAATTTGCTGTAGAGACATCGAAACCACCGCCACAGTAGAGGCAACGAGGCCAAAGGCATTAACAGAGATGTCTGTAACCCGAAACCCTACATTGCCAGCCATCCCCATCAACCTACAGGCAACCTCTGCTGCTGAATGAAGAGCACTCACAATCTGCTGCAGAGACGTAGAGACCACCGCCACGGATGCAGTGATGAGCCCAAAGGCGTTGACAGAGATGTCAGTGACGGTGCACACGCCCACCCCCAGCATGACTGCCAGCACGGACAGCTTGACCTCCTTGGAGTAGGCCTTGGCGTGCAGCAGCGTCTCACACAGACAGGTCACTGGGATGATGGCGAGCTTAGAGATCTGATGGGGGAATTTGTGGGGGGTGGGCAGGGTGGGGGGGAGGGGAGGGGCAGGGGCAGGGGGAGGGGACAGATGGGACTTAGGAGGGGAAGGGGACGCGGGTGGGGAGGGGGTTAATGGGACATGGGTGGAGGTTAAGGAAACCCCACTGTTCTCCCGCTCTCTCTCACCACCTCATTCTCTGCCATATCCCCCTCTCACCTGGTAGAACCCCACGGAGTTGGACATGAGAGACAGGTTCATGCCAACGATGGAGAGGTCGGCGAGCATGCGGGGAGAGAGGTTCAACCCCCCCCCTCACCCTCCATCTCACCCTCCATCTCACCCTCCATTTCACACTCCCTCATTCCCTCTCCCCCTCTTCCCCTCTCCCCCTCTCCCCATTTTCCCCTGCTCACCTGGTAGAACCCCACGGAGTTGGACATGAGGGAGAGGTTCATGCCAACGATGGAGAGGTTGGCGAGCATGCCGAACCACCCGATGTCCCACAGAGGGATGTTCGCCGTCCCCGACAGGTACCCCAGCCACACACACAGCGCCCCGAACAGGCCCGTGAACGTCAGGTGGAAACCAGTCAGTGTGGTGGCTGATGGGGTGGGAGGAGAGGAGGGAAGGGGGCGGGGGGGTGGAGGAGGGGGAGGGGCGGGAAGGAGGAAAAAGGTGAGGTTTCGTGTGTCCCACAGAGGGATGTTTGCCTGCCCGGGCAGGTACCCCAGCCACACGCACAGCGCCCCGAACAGCCCCGTGAACGTGAGGTGGAAACCCGTTAGGGCGCGTAACGTTTTTGCGTACCGATTGTCTGGACGATGGTCGGTACGGACGATAGCATGGTTACCTTTATCGCTAGACGTCGCGAGCTTCTTCGCAGGACCTCATGCGGCGTCGCAGGCGTCCAGGCCGTTCTGACAATTTTTGCCCCAAAAGGGTTTTGATTTCCCTACCGCCACCGTTTCCCCAGACGGGCTTTCGTCCGGACCGACCACGTCCGGACGAGAAACGGACGGTTTGGCAGCTTGGTCCGGACATTTCACGGTACGCAAAAAATCTACGCGCCCTTAGGGTGGTGGCTGGTTGGGTGGGGGTGTTAAGGGATGGGGGAGAGAAGGGATTGACAGAAGCGACTATATGTGTGTCACAGAGGGTTGTTGGCCTGCCCGGACAGGACAGGCACCCCAGCCACACGCAGAGAGCTCCAAACAGCCCCTTTAAGGTGAGGTGGCTGATGGGGGAAGGAGAAGTGGAGAGGGAGACGGGAAGGAGAGAAAGAGAACACCCCGGTCACGCACACACGAGTCTTTGCGTATCTCATTCTGAGATGTTGGCCTTCAAGGACGAGTACCCCTGTCACACAGACGTGAGGTGGAATACCGTCTGGGTGGTGGCTGGTCGGGGAAGAGGGAGGGAGATGTGGGGAGGGGAGGTGAGTGGGTGGGGGGTGGAAAGAAACGGGAACGAGGGGAGGGGGAAACGGGGAGGGGAGGGACCTGGGTTATTGTGTGTCGCACAGAGGGACGTTGGCCTGCCCTGACAGGTGCCACGCGGGCTGTGCTGGCTTGTGGATGTTAGAAGGTGGGTGTGAGGAGGGAAATGTGGGGGGAGAAATGTGAGGAGGGAAATGTGGGGAGGGAAATGTGGGGAGGGAAATGTGGGGAGGGAAATGTGAGGAGGGACATGTGAGGAGGGAAATATTAGGAGGCCGTCCTCTCTCTCTCCCTCTTGACTAAACATTGGGATACGAGGCGAGGGACTGCTCAGACGCGCTTGAGCCCCCCCAGTCGGTACACTCGCGGATTTGCGAAGCATTCCTCTCTGCTGTCGCTTCGGCGGCTCTCGGGTAAGTTGAGGACACATCTCGCATTGTGATTGACCGCGCGAATGCGAGCGGATCGACTCGTGTTCGACGATGAGCGAGCGTAGAAGAACTACGAAACCCGGATTGCGTAGCGAACGGATTGGTGAAAGCTGGCACCCTTTCTATATTAGTTAAAGCGCGAGCTTTGTCGCACCCATGCGGAATCTGTAAACGAGCAATGCTGTCTAACGTACCCCGGTTGAGCGCTTTCAACACGTACAGAAGTTTAAGACGTAGTTTAAGACGTACCGAGGGCAAGTCGGCATATCGTTGATTTGGACGACGAGCGGAATAAAAATGCTGGACGAGCGACGCATCGAAGACGAATTGACGACGAATGAGCAACGCATTATAGACGATTGAGCGACGAACTAAGTTGATTCTATGACGCATTGATGAGGAATGAGTGACGCATCGAAGACGAAGCGGTGGAAGGACCTGACGACGTTGTTGATCATGACGAGCCACACGCCGTATACGCGGCATCTACGGCGGTATGCCGCAATACATGCGCCTGATAGAGCGATAATAAAAGTACTTAAGACGAAGACGCACCGAAGAGGAAGCGGTAGGAGGACATGACGACCTTGTTGATCATGATTAGCCCCACGGAGCTCACGATGTTCATCGCCCATGCGCCCCCCGGCGATATCGCCTGCGGATTGTTGAACATCGCGAATCGCTTGTTGCAACTAGCTGACGGCGAATAGCTGACTGTGAGTGGCTCAATGCGAGTGGATGCGAGTGCTTGGTTGGCGAATCATCCGCTGCGAGGTCGTGGTTGACTGCGAATTCTCGATTCTCGGCGAGACGCGAAGTCGTCGCATTCGCAGTAAGATGGGACTGGAAAAGACGTGATTTTAAGTACACAAGCCGTTCTGGCCTCAGCTGTCCGCACGACGTTCGTCAGAGACTCTCAGATCGGAGACTAGACGGCAACGATTGAATGCACATGAGATGCCCTGCTGCCTCAGCAGCACAGCACATTAATTGATCTGAATCTCAAGTTTCTGCTCTGCAGTCCTCTCGCACCCACCTCGCAGCAGCAATGGTGATGGCAGGAATCGCGGTGGGTGGGTGAGACATGAGGCGTGCAGGCTGACAGGCACACTCATAAATACAATCGTGAGTGTGGGAGGGTCAAGTGCGGATGAGTACCCAAACCAACCACACGTGTTTCCGAGCGTGAAGTTTGGCTTCAAAGTTCACAAAGCGCTTCACCGACCACATAAAGGCCGAACCTTCTTGTGTGGTTCGATTTCATCTCCTGAACCAGGGAGGGCGAACCTGGTAGATCGCTTTGGTCATATGGGAGCTCGAAGGCTGCTCCTGGGTTTTGCGAAGCCCCGCAAGCCTGATGCTCAGCTTTGGCGCGGTTCGCACAGCCTTGTTGATCGGTGTGGGTGCAGCTAGGGGCTCCCACGCGTATGGGCTCATTGAGGTTGGTCGGTCAGATCTGTGAAACTGACACAAGTCGCGCAGAGAACTGGTTCTGTATAGTCATACCCACACGTCGCAGCAACAATCGAGCTCCTTGCGAAGAAAAACGTCCAGCACCTACTACATATCGATTCGTACAAGACAAATGGCTTTCCTAGTTATGTGTAAGGAACTCTAAATTCAGTTCCATAACCCAAAATTTGGATCTTGGCCACACCCATGGATTACAGTGCCCTGGTCTTACTGCCCTGACCAGGATGTCTTGAAAAGGTGAATTTTATTCTGAAAAAAAATATCGATGTGATAAAACTAACTTTCTGTGTAATGGGGGAGCACGGGAAAGGTGTGGGGGTATTGCGGGCGGTGTGGACTGGAAAGACAAGACAAGCAAAAGCTAGCAAATGAACTGGAAAGTGTAACACATTCAGCCCACCAGCCTCCATGCGTGATACCAGTACCTATGCCTCATTTATTTCCTCTTGGTTTCTCATGCATACGCACACAAGCACATCTTAAGAGTAGCTAGCAACTGAATGCTTGGATTATGGTAGGGAGGCAATACAAATAGGAAGCCTAACAAAGTTGTACTCTCTATGGAGTACCTCACTGCAGCCTATCACAATAATAACATTTGACACACCCCCATAGGCTAAGTAAGGGGTACCCAACAACTAGCAAGTGAAACAACGGTCACAAGACCAGACAAGAGCAAGCAACAAAACAAGGCTCAGGGTGGCGCTCAAAGTCACCACACACTCCGAGCACAAACAAGCGGCCACAAGGTCAGTTCAAGAGTTCACTAGGATATATAGCAAAACACAACATGCATAGCAAACAACAAGTCTACAGCAACCGAGGGCCTACCTCAACAAGCCCCAACTGCACACATAACCTGTGGTGGTCTCCAGGCGCCAAGGCCTTGGTGAAGACGTCGACAGTGTTGGCCTCTGAGGCCACAAAGTCCAAGCGTGCGTGGCCGCGTCGCTGCAACTCTCGCAGGAGGAAGTACCTAACGTCTATATGCTTCACTCTGCACTCCAGTCGAGGCTTTCGACACAGGAGGATCCTAACACGGATTCCATAGCCGCTTTCCACTAAGAGGCCCACTCCCCTGACACTGCCCCACGGTACGTGCGAGGTGTCGGTATGTCAAGGGCGTCGGGGTCTCCCTCAGGGGAAAGCAGCATGGCGCAGAGAGAGGGGGAAGCTGCGGCTAAGAACTCCAGCTCAAACTGCCTGTCCTCTAGGACGTCACAGCCAAGGGCAGACTCACCCCCGATGGACAGAGGACGGGGAGGTGGAGCAGCCACCACACGCGTGGCGTAGTCAAGGCGGCGGGTGGAAGCAAAGTCAGAGACAGCGTAAGAGTCGAGACAGACGACGGAGAGGCACGAGGGTCGGTGATAAGAGTGGCAAGAATACGGGAGACAACAGGGCAAGCAACACGGTAATAGTCAGTGATAGGGTGAGAGGAGACGGTGAGAGACGACTCAGGATGTGAGGAGAGAATAGACACAGGCGGAGAACAACGAGGACTAGAACAAAACAAGACAGTGGGGAGGTCGGCATAAAAAGACGAGGGACGAGCACGCGGAGGACAACGACTGGTCCAGTCGTGCGGGACAACAAGAGGAGATGACTGTGACTGAGGAGGAGAGAAAACAGCTGGAGTCAAGTACGGAGGAGGAAACGTAGGGCCGTACGCGGTAGGGGACTGTGAGTGGACAGGAGGAGAGGAAGGAAGACCAAGGGCCCGAAGGCCACTTACTGGAGGGAACAGCTGTCAGAAGTAACGAACGAGAATGAATGAACTATGAAAGAGTTGGGTACAAGTACTAACCCTAATTGGGTTGTACCCCTTATGGGCTACCCCACTATAGCCTACACAAATGTAAGCACTATAACATTATGACACACCCCCATAGGCAAAGTGGGGGAGAACAAGTGGTCACAAGACCAGTCAAGAAAAGCAAAGCAAGCTCAGGGTGGATCACAAAGTCACCACACAGTCCGAGCACAAGCAAAGGGCCACAAGTCCAGTTCACATGCAGAGTTATGTATAAGAGAACAAACAATACAGTGATCATACCCTAGCAAGTGCAAGCATGCAGGTATATATAAAGATCACAGTACAAGCAGAGTCAAGCAGAAAGCAAGTGAGGCAAAGTAGGCACAAGGCCTAACACAGTAGGTAACGGTGATCCCCCTGTCATGGAGGTATCCAACACCCACCAAGTTCCGAGTGAACGAGGGGATGTGGAGGCCGCGCAGGACACCAGAGGGGACCACAGGGAACGGGAGGGTGGTAGAGCTGCATGCCACGGCTGGTCCTGAGGAAGGATCAGCCAGGGCAACCGGTACTGGAGCATGGAGCGGTGTGAGTGTCGTGTGGTCGCGGAAGAAGCACTGCGATGCGCCAGAGTCGAGCGTGAAGGACATGGACGCCATAGCCTGTGGTGAGCCCGGTGTGGAAGCTACACAAGCACCTAGAGCAGAAACACAAGCACCTAGACTAGAGAGGCACAAGTATACGCTAATAGGAGGCGGCGGAAGCACCGCGCGACAGAGTGGTCGTCGTGGCCGCAGACACAAGGGCTGCGTGGTCCGGTGAGGCACCAGTGGTCACAGGGGCCGGTGTCACGGCGAGGGGGGCAAGGGGCCCAGCTGGAACTGCTGTTGCTGCGGTTGGAGCTCCCTGGTCCTCCCGGACCCCACTGCGGCGGGGGGCCCCAGTGTTGCTGCGGACCCCACTGCAGTGGGGGCCCCAAGGCTGGAACTGCTGCGGTGCCTGCTGCTGCTGCTGTCCCTGCTGATGGTGCTATCTCTGCTGTGGCTGGTGCTGCTGTGGCTCCTACTGCTGAGGTCCGACACCTCGCTGGTCTGAACACCGCCAGTAGGCGAGCCTGTCTGTCCTGCACCTCCTCCAAGGCTCCCTCCTCCTGGGGCACCACCGCCGCCTCCACCACCACCACCGCTCCCAGCTCCACCGCCACCACCACTGCCTCCTCCACCTCCCT